ATCCAAGTTATTGCCCAAACTAGTCGGGAGAATAGTAGTTGTCAGGTATTTTTTCAGTCATCACTCGCTGTATAGGATTATATACAAAATGTCCAAATATCAGTTGGTAATATTCGTGCAGAACATGTATACTTATATCACATATGCTATTTTTACCTTATATCTTTGTTTATGCCTTTTTATTCGCTCATTTGTTGGTCGGAATAACGAATATATGAAAGTTAATACTAGCATTCAACTTGACTGTAGGAAATAAATATGGGCAAGTTTTTTTCCAAGTGAGAGAAGCATATCTGATATAAACTGTTTGTTAGTCGAACGCATAGGAAGGTAGATGGAGCAAATTCGATAATAAATATATGATTAACGTTTTTCTTTCTACTGTTCTTAAGTACTTCCATTAAAGATATAAAATAAGCAAATTAAATTTTGAAATCAGTTAAACACCTATTTCGATCAGGCTTTCTTGCATTATAGACTTTCAACATTTCCTATTATTTGGAAGAGTGATATAATAAAAGTTGGCGTACTGTCGTGTTTGCATTAACCTTCTGTTTCTTTCCAAGTAAGATGGAGTTTAACTTGTTTTGTTAAAAGATGTCTTAGTGCAACTTTATCTTACTCTTGTCATTATCCTAAATATGATGTCGCCTGAACAGTTGTGGGAAAATGTTTGATGCGAAGCTAGTGACTTGAAATGGATGAGTGGAGATTTTTATATTTCCAACTTTTGATTGCCAAAAATACTATCATGGTCTGATATTTTTTTTTAATTTTTATAAATCATAATAATTCAACTTTTCATATTAGTACCAGCCATAATTTTGTGTAATTCCCTAAAAGTTAAAAATTTACATGTCATGAAAATCATATTTCCATAGCTTTTTGAATTGTTTATTTGGAAAGCTGCTTGCAAGTTTGATGAGTTTGATGCGTTTTGTGTCAAAATTTGTTGCTTAAAATTTTGTGAAATTGACTATTCTGAAAAATTTTAGTTTTCTCATTAATATTTTCCTCGTAAATGATTTTGACAATGTTTGAAAGATTTATTTTTGTGTTGACTTCACTTTCACCTAGAGAAGTTAGCAAAGAAGCTTTGATTTACTATTCTCAGCTTTCCGTGGTCAGTTGCTCAACAGTATTCGTGTCTGTAAAACAAAATGCCTTCTAACTTATTGTCATGTTTTTTGGATCCAGAGCGCGATCGCTCTGGTGAAAATGAAATGAAGTGTTATAATATTCAAGGTGATTGCTATTTCTTCAGTTCAGTAGAAACAATACTCAGATTTTCACAAAATTTTTTTGCACTTTTTTGATGCTGAATTTTTTTCTTAAATATGATATATTGCTGCAAAGAAGAGTATTACTGAGATGTTTTTTGTTTCAGGAGACCAGATAGGTAATATTCTTGGTGGATTTATTTCGGGTGGAGGAGGAAGTGGAGGTGGTTCTCATAGCGGAGGTAAAATATCAATAAATAAGTTACTATCCTTTCTTTCTTATTAGTTTTTGCTAATTTTACATATTTCAGGTGGTGGTGGTGTGAATGTTGGTGACATTGCTGGTATTCTTGGAGGCTTAGCTGGATCAGGTAGCAAGGGCGATAAGCTCGGGGGTTTGATTAGTGGTATTGGTGGACTTATTGGCAAGAAAGGAGGACAGTACGGTGGTGGAGGTAATTTATTGTTTTTAGTAAGTTAGATCAAATTGAGAAACAGATTTTGTTCTTAAAAAAATGAATTGGTTGAAAAATTAGCTTATGAAAATTGGTCCTTCCACTACAAAAAACTAGATTGCAGGGCCAAATGTAAACCCAAGCAGTTTGAACGGTGGTATGGTCGATGTTGTCAGTGGTCTTGTTGGACATCTAGCTCACCGTTTTCTTAATGTTGATCCTTCTACTGGACGTATCATTGGTGCTATTGCTGGCAATTTGATTTTCAATCTTGGTAGGATTATTATTGTGTAATGTATTCAAGAGATAATCTGTCAATTATTGTCAAGTTTTATGATAGAGAAGTAAATATTTTATTCAGCTTCCGTCTATATATCTTTTAAGGTGGAAAGGACAACAACCTTGGAGCTGTTGGCAAAATTGTTCTGGACAATATTATTAGTGGTAAATTCAAAAGAAAGGTATTTTTGCAAATTGTAATGTCAAACTATAGTAACTGGTTAACAGTGATAATACTAGTGTAAAGTTCTCAATTTCTCTAGAATGAACGCCTCATCTTCTCTATCCTTTTATATGCTTCAACTTTTCACGTTTTTGTCGTTGACAAAATTTGAGCAGTATCTCATTCTTACGTTTGAATAAAAGATCATATTTCCGAATTATGCCATAACATAGGATATTAAAGTCTTTTTCATTCAATGCAAAAATTTTCTTGCATAGGTTGATCCTTATGTACCACCTGAGCCATCTATACGACCTTCTGTGCCGACTCCTGACAGATTAGCTGAGGAAGGTCTCGATTTCTACGCTGAACGAGATCGCTGTCTTGCTGTGAGTTAATTTTCTCAAAATTCTGATTATTATCTGAGCTTTGATGTCATATAGCAAGAATAAATAATATATTGATCATATATGGTGTCATCTCTACAAAATTTCATTACATTGACATTTTGAGAATACTATGCAAAAAATTTTAAGAGTGCTTGTTTTTTCTGCAAGTATCTAGTTTTCGAATAATATTGTAAAATCATTTCGCAATTTGTTAGTTCCGATTCTAATACATATAAATTCACTCATGGCAGCAGATTGTAGGAACGGCAACTGTTTGAAGATCCGCAGTTTCCCGCAGAAGACAGAAGTTTATTTTTCAGCAAACGCCCACCTAAGCATATTGAATGGAAACGACCTGGGGTTTGCTATATTGATTCTTGCTATAAGGTGGTTGATTATGTTTTATGAGCTAAAAGTTGCCAAAAATTTAGGAAATATGTGAAGACCCGCAATTGATCTATGAAGGACAGTCTCGTTTTGATGTTGTCCAAGGAGAACTAGGTGATTGTTGGCTTTTGGCTGCTGCTGCAAATCTTACTCTGAAAGATGAACTATTTTATCGAGTTGTTCCACCAGATCAAAGTTTTACAGAGAATTATGCAGGTTTGTTTCATGAATATTTTTGTTTTATCTTCTAACAAAATCGTCAAAATTTTATCTACAACAATATATTGCGTTATTTGGACATTTCAGTTGGTCCTGATAAGCTTAGCACCATCATGTAACTGCGCGATTCATTTTTAGAACTTTTAAAATGTTAGAATTTAGCGGTTCTTCTCAGTGTTTGTAATTCTAAGGAGATAAAATTTGCTGCAATTTAGTAGAAACAATGAAAATGCATTGCTTAATACTCAGTGTAAACGATGACCTAGGTTCCTCTTTTTGATCGTACTTTAATGCTTTCTTGTGCGTAAAAGAAAAATCTAAGAAAGTATTAAAATATTTCAAATTGTAGGTATATTTCACTTTCAATTCTGGCATTATGGCTCGTGGGTTGATGTTGTCATCGACGATCGTTTACCGACTTGTAATGGTGAACTGTTGTATATGCATTCTAGAGACAACAATGAATTTTGGAGCGCTTTGTTGGAAAAAGCTTATGCAAAGTAAAATTTCATGTCTGGAAAATTCATAAAAAACAAGTCTTGATTTCGTATGGTTTCTGTATTTGTGACGTAATATCTATGCGTAGGCTAATTCTATGCATGAAATTAAATTCTTTGAAACTATGGACATAATAATATAACTTTGAAAAAGTTAGTTGACATTCTAATGAAATTCTTTGTTATTTCATTTGTTTTTCATAACTTTTTACTTTTGCAGACTTCATGGTTCTTACGAAGCATTAAAAGGTGGCACAACAAGCGAAGCATTGGAAGATTTTACTGGTGGTTTGACAGAATTTTTCGATCTTAATCAGCCTCCTAAACATTTGATGGAAATGATGATGAGAGGTTTTGAGATGGGTTCGCTATTTGGATGCAGCATTGAAGTAAGTAAATTTCTCTATTTTTTATTCAATATCTGAGAATATTTGGTATTTCCATACATATATCTTTTAAACTAGTCAAATTTTTTGTTTTGTTTTATATAGAAATTAAATGATCGTGAAGTTTTGACTAAGTTTAACATTTGTGCAGCATAGAATAGTAGCAAATGAAAAATTTATTGTTCTATGCTACGCAAATAGTTGTCGTCTCATACCATTGTTGCGCATTCGTAATTTGTAAAGTTAGAAAAGGAACACTTTTAGGCAGATCCAAATGAGTGGGAAGCACGAATGAGAAATGGCTTAGTCAAAGGTCATGCCTACAGTATAACAGGAATGAAAATGGTAACAGTTTCCTTCTGTTAAATATTTTCCATTTTTTATTTGTTCATGCGATTTTTTTTCTCTTGAAATATATTTGTTGCTTTATTTTAAGTGTTTCTCTTTTAAGCTTAATAGTCGTCGTCGTCCCATACCACTGTTGCGCATTCGTAATCCATGGGGTAATGAACAAGAATGGAATGGTGCATGGTCAGATAATTCAGCAGATTGGAACGAGATTTCGCGGGAAGAGAGGGAGGAAATGGGATTAGTTTTCGCTCACGATGGAGAATTCTGGTTTTCTCTTGCGTAATTAAAAACAGTCGTGGTCTGATAATTAATTGCCGAGACATGAAATGCAAATGATCTTTTAGTTTCAAAATTTTCCAAATTTTTTTGAAAACGTCTATTTTTTTTGGCAGTTTTTAATTTTCTTTCTCTTTCCATGTGATACGCCATTTTTAAACTTAGAATTCAAATCAAACTAGACTGTGGATGTCAAGTTCTGTACCGATGAGCATTTTCCATTTCACTTATAATCGTGAAAATTTTTAATATTTTGCATAAAAGCCATTTACTGCACACAGTTTGCTACAAAGTATATTCCAACCTTCAAAATCATCTTGCTTTCACACTTGTAGAAGATTCTTTTACTTGAATTTATTCCGTTTTCAGGATGTCATTCGATGATTTCTTACGTTATTTCGAAAAAATGGAAATATGTAACTTAGGACCAGAGGTCATGGATGAAGTAAGTCTTCATTTCTGAAATTTATTACGATACTTACAAGTAACTGCTGTTTACCACCGAAAAACTTGGTTTTCCTGTAGGTGAGTGAAATGACGGGTGTTCGATCGACAATGAATCGTTGGGCAACGAATACTCAGAATGGTGCATGGATTGCTAATCAGACGGCAGGTGGATGCAGAAACTATATCGGTATATGCTTTTTATTTTCTTAGTTTCAAAGTTAAAAGTTAATATTATTTTTTGTTTTTTTTTTTTGAAAAATCCGTAAGGTAGGAAGTAATTGGGAAAATGTGAAAATATCATTAAATTGAACTTGTTGCAGGTAGAAATTGTATAAACATATCAAGTTATTATATTAATTTCACTCTTGTATAGCAGATAATAAAAATTTACAATGTTTTCCAGAAACATTCCCAATGAATCCGCAATACCGCATTCAGTTGTCTGATGCAGATCCAGATGATGATGATAATTTATGTACGGTAATTATAGCCGTGTTGCAAAAGTATCGACGTGAAATGAAACATGCGGGTATTGAAAATCTACCGATTGGATTCGCCGTTTATGACGTATAGTCTTTTTTGTTTCAGAATATCACTAATATCGTAGGTCGGCAAACCTAATTAGATTTGTTGTATCAAGTTCATCTGAACTAAAAGCAACATTATTTTAAAGGCTCATAAATTAATATTCCTTGCAGACTTTTTCAGAAGATTTCATTCCAATTTTCTAGGTTCAGCAGGTGAGAAATGAAACAAAAAGGTAAAAAGGCCGTGTGTATTTGCTAGATTCATTGCATTTCCGTTGTGTAGATGTGTTCTTATCTGTTAATTTCATCTTTTTTGTAGTGTCTCTCAAAATTAAATCATGGATATAAATATTGGAATGATTAACCTGAGAGTGATTACATAGCATTTAACACATTTTTCATATGCTTTGTGCTGTTTCTAATGACAAATGCTAATTTTGCATTGTGTTTAAAATGTCTGACAGTTGTTTAAGATGATGGAATTGTAAAACTTGTGAAGTGACTGCATGCTTGTGGTACTTACATTTAATTTTCTTAAATGCTATTGTGCTTTTGATGCATGTATGCAACTTTGAGAAAATTGACCGTTCTTAATTTAGATGGGGAACTATACCGGACGTTTACCAAAAGCATATTTTCAGCAGCATAAATCATGCGCAAGATGTCCTGCATTTATTAACTTAAGAGAGGTAATTAAATTGAAAACTTTGGTAGCAAAGCAGGGATATTTTTATCAGAAATTACTTGAAAACTAATCACTAGATTTTATTAATTCTCAATTTCTCTATTTTTAAATCCATTTTATTTTGATCAAGTTTTAGTTCTTATATCTTTAGGTTAGTGGTCGTTTTCGCCTTCCGCCAGGGAATTACGTTATCGTACCGTCAACTTTCGAACCGAATGAAGAAGCGGAGTTTATGCTTAGAATTTATACGAACGGGCTGGTTGAATCAGAGTAAGTTTGATTATTTCAAATAACTGATATTGAATGATTATTATAAGTTTACATATCTGATAACTAGACTTATGCTTTTGTGAGGTTTATCTAGTGCATCATTTCTCTGTATCTTTTTTATTGAAAACTGTAAAGTTTTGTAGTGATGATTTTCAAAGTTTGCCAGTGTACATCTTTAGCTTTAATTTGCTATTCGTGATATTAAAATAATTAACAAAATAAGTTTTGAATTTAAATTTTCAGAGAGTTGTAAACCTTGACAACAGGTCGGACATGGTCAAGTTCTATTAAGTGAACTTTTAGAACGATCTTATTATTCGGAGAATTATGAAGAGTA